GCTTTAAGATGATACCAATAACTCTACATGCCCAAAAATTGACGAGAGCCTGATTCCACCACGCTGCCTCACATATTTGATAGGAAATCCAACAGTGCACACAAATTATTTCCAGTACTTCAACCAGCTGAAGCTGAAAAGTAAGGAAAATTCTGCAGGGGGTCGGGGGGCCGCTGCGGCCGGCCCCCCAACAGGGTCAAGGGACAGCGCCTTGTTGGGGGTTCAGGGGGCGCACCCCCGAAGAAATTGAAATTTAGTGCTTATAGAGGGTTTAAAATAGCATTTGGGAGCCTGTTTGAAGAGATTGCCTACGACCTATAACATTTATTTTTTCACCAACATTTTGTCTTGTTTGATTTCTTCACCTACATATTCTTTTCATTGCTGGCAATGTTAAAAAGCAGGTTCCCCTTTCATTGCTACTATAATTCAATTAATTTGTCATGGCACGATTGATAGAAGGCAAACCTGGGAATAAAGAATAGATATGCACCTTCGCAATACAGTTACCCAGCGAACACCGAAAGTTTCCACAATTTTCACGTCTGAATGTTGCATGTCACAACCTCGGAACACCACTTCCAATTATTCTTGATTTTAGTAGTTTTAGCATAAATTTATTTCGTTGCGGCCCTTATTGCGTTCCCGTGCCGTAGAATCTTCGCATTGATAATTTCTCTAGATCTAGACAATAAATTTCGCAAACAAGTAGTTTCTTTCTGACAGTAATTTTCTGCCTAAGATCAAAAGTCAATTTACTTGATCAACGCGCATATTTTCCAGCCGTGGCAACAGTCCGAAGATAGACAGACGGAAAGAGTGAATGATAGAAAGGAGGAAATTGGCACAAAAAGTTAACCAGATTTTGATCAATCTGCAGGTAAAAATGTACGGTCGACCAACCCACAATGAACGCATGGTGCATAGCGGAATAATGGCCGATTGCAGGAAATGCGCAATCTGGCAGGTCTCTCTATAACTTATAACATTAACTTATTGCCGAGAGAATTACCTTAAATATCCATAGCTTAGACAAGACGATACGAAGGCGAGTACAGATCTTTTGCTACGGAATTCCTGTAGATATCTAGTCCTTCGCTGTCGCAATTTTTATACCGAGGGAGCTTTTAATGATGGAGGAACAAGTACGGAACTGGCAGAAAGCGCGGATTTCCATAAAAATGCGGAAGAGTGGAAGCACTGTACTTTGTCAGTTCTTGGG